TTCATGAATCCCAATATACTTAATTCACCCTACAGACATTTTCTCATTGTTCCACCTATTTTCTAGTTTTGTCATGTTACTCTTGGTAATCCATTGAGATTCCTGCTTAGACAGTTTGCTATTTCCTCCTCTTTCATTCATTTTTCATCACTTTGCTGCTCAGATGTAGAATTCCTATACTGTGATCATGCTACACTCTCATGGTTAAATGTACAGTAGAAGACTTGCAGACAATTTCAATAATAGAGCCATTGGTTTGGGGCAAAACAAGCTGTCAGTCGGTGCAAAAAATGCTTACAACAAAGCCCAGAATAGCCTCCAGTCCTGCACCACATTAAAGAACTTCAGTTCTCTGGTATACCACCTCTGCACACTGCACAGGGCAATGTCTCTCTTTAGAAACCTTTTGCCAAGATTTGGGCGACATTCCCACTATACTTTTATAGCAATCTGATTCCTCCGTCATGCCCCCCCCCCCAAGAATTCTGGGAGCTGTAGTATTTCAAGGATGCTGAGAGTTGTTAGAAGACCCCTGCAGCCCTAATGGAGTTACAATTCCCAGAGTTCCCTGTGAAGAGGGATTGACTGTTAAGCCGCTCTGGGAATTGTAGCTGTGTGAGGGGAAGGGGGATCTCCTAGCAACTCTAGGCATTCTTAACAAAGGACAGTTCCTAGAATTCTTTGGGAGAAGCTATGACTGTTTAAAGTGGTCTCATAGTGAATGTGGTCATGTTGACCCAGATTCCAAGATGCACCATGGCATTTGGAACTAAGTCATTGTGGGGTGTGTGAATGAAACATCAAGCATGAAAATATGTGTTTTGTGCAAGTAGGAATTGCTAGCTTCTTGCATTTAGGGGGAATGTAAAGGTTTTTCTGTGGTTGAATTGTCTTTAAAATCATTGACATTCTTTCTCTTTAAAAATATAAGAAGCCTATGCTCTTTTGCTAAAAATCATTTTTCTTGATAGATTATAATTTATACAATATGAGTGTCATTGCTGAAAGTTATTCTAAGTGGATATAGACTTTGATAGCACCCAGCACTATTAAGCTTATTTTTGTCTAACTGAAACCTTGACTAGTCTTGCACCAGCAGAAGTCGATCCAGTATATCATCTTTCTATTTTGCCTCTCCTATTGCATCTCATCAACACAGCAACAACTGTCTCCACTAAACTAGACCTGAAACTTAATCCACATATATAAATAAGTAAACAACAACGAAAACAGTAAATCAAGGACTGTAATAAAAATGAACTGTTTGAAAGAAAACCATGTTAGGGGATTTATTATTATTATTTGCTGTAAGCCACCCTAGTTGTCAATGGACTGGAAGGAAGGAAAGGTGTTGGGTTTTTTAAAATGAATGAATAAATAAATTTGTCTGGCAAAGTTCTTGAGTTTCATGGCACAATGGCTTCTTCATGAACACGTGCTATTTGCAGTTACCTACCACACTTGTTACCCTTCCTGTAGAATAGGGCTGTGACAGCAGTGGCCCTTCTGATGTTGTTGGACTGTAATCCCACAAACCCCAGCCAGCATGGCCATTGCTGAAGGATGATGGGAGTTGTAGTCTGGCAACATCTGGAAAGCCACAATGCCCTACCTCCTGTTTAAAATTCCACAGCAATATTTATTATTGTAATATATCCTTTTATAAACACACACACATACACACACACACACAGAGAGAGAGAGAGAGAGATCTCCTTTTAAGATTTGTTTTGTTACTATAGAAACATTCATAATTATTTCATAATACCGTTTGTGAAAGGAATAATAAGAGTAGATTGGGGATGGGCAACTTCTCTTTTCTCAGGGGCAATCTATTTTCCTAACAGAAGTTGAATGAATGAATTTATTAATACAGTCACAGACCAGCGCCAACACACACAGCATCACAGATCATAAAAAATATATATAAAAAATACAAAGGGCAATATAAGTATAACAAGCATTTAAATTTAAAAAATTAAAATTAGTTATTATTAATTAAAAAAGTAAAATTAATTATTATTAATTAAAAAATTAAAATTAATTATTATTAATTAAAAAATTAAAATTAATTATTATTAATTAAAAAATTAAAATTAATTATTAGCATGCCCCCTGCTATCAACACTTGGGGGTTTGGTCACCATGGGATACCACTTGCTTCCTGCGACTAATTGCAGCCGCACAGAATTTGGCTACATTTAATGTAGTCTTGGGATTCTTGTCCTCTAGCAGCGGTTCCAAACCATGGTGTTCCGACTCCTTCCCGGACTTCCGCAAAACAGGAGCAATAAAAGTCGAACGTATGTCCTCATAAAAACGACAACGCAACAGTACATGTGCAGCAGTCTCAACCTCCAACGAGCCACAGGGGCAGACCCGCGCTGCGTATGGTTTACCCTCAAATCTGCCCTGAAGTAAGGCAGAAGGGAGAACGTTGAATCTGGCGAGGGTAAAAGACCGTCTGTATTTAGGTACCTGGAGACCTGACAGATAGTTAGCTGGAGAAATCCTCTCCCATAGTCCCTTATTGCAGGATGTTTGATCATTTCACTCATGTGGCATTGTAATTCTACATCCCAGATACGCTGGCGAATTGTGGTCCTAGCTTTCTCGAAGCCTGTGGCTATCAGGGTCTGCTGTGGGATCCCCAAGCCTTTAAGCTTTTCCAGCAGTGTAGCCTTCCATCTGGATTGGTAGGTATCCAATAAGGTCAAAGGTGCCAGCCCAACCGGGAAGAAAATAAGCTTTAGCCAGTAATGGATCTTCAATATCCATATCCGGGTACTGATCGGAATTTGCCCAACCTCCAAACGGACTGCTATGTTGGATACGCAAGAGGGATCCCCAGCAGGCAGCGGAAAAACTTAGTTTGAAATGCCTCTAGGAGAGTAAGGTTTTTAAAACTGCAGATCTGGGATCCATATAACAATTGTGGTAGTATTTTGGCAGCAAAGACCTGGGAGGCTGCCGGTATGTACTGGCCTCCTTTCCCATAGAAGAATCTTATTAACGCTTTGGTAGATCTTTCTGCATTTGCAATAGTATTATTAATCTGAAAGCGCCAGGAGCCCCTTTCCTGGAAGGTTACACCCAGGTATTTAAAGGTTGCTACCTGTTCTATTAAGCGGTTGTCTATTCTCCATTTGTGCCTCCTCCTTTTTTTGGAGAACACCATAACTTTGGATTTGTTGTAGTTAATTGTTAATTGTTCGATGCTGCAGTATTTGGTGAAAGATCTCAAAAGTTTTCTTAATCCAACACAAGAAAAGAAATTAGAACTGTGTCATCCGCATATAAAAGGACCGGGAGGGGCGTTCCAGCCAATTTGGGGGGATGGGCATTTTCTTTCTCCATATGTCCTACTAGCGAGTTGATATAGAAGTTAAATAAAGTAGGCGCAAGGACACACCCTTGCCTGACCCCCTGATGGATTTGGATTTCCTTGGATAGGTGGCCCTGTCGGTCACACCTTACCCGAATCCGTGTATTTTCATATAGACTGTGGATGAGATACAGTAGGCGTTTGTTTATATTTGCGGCGCTTAGCTTTCCCCAGAGCCTGTCCCTCGGTATTAAATCAAAAGCAGATTTGAAATCTATAAAGGCCACGTATAGGGAACCTCCTTTTCTTGATGTATATTTCTCCGCAAGATGTTGGAGAACAAGGCCCTGGTCTAAGGTTGACCGATTTGCCCTAAAACCAGCCTGTGCTTCTGAAAGAATGTGGTCTTGTTCCAACCAGTCCACTAATTTGCCGCATAGGTGGGCAGCGTACAATTTGCTAATGATACTTAGGAGGCTAATTGGCCTGTAATTAGCCGGGTCTGATCGGCTCCCTTTCTTGAATAAAGGGATGATGATTGCTAATCCCCAATCCTCAGGGATAGTGGCCGATTGGTCTATGCTGGTAAATAGGGCAGCTAGCACAGGGGCCCACCATTCAACATTAGCCTTAAGGAGTTCCGGTGTAATGTTGTCTACGCCGGGTGCTTTTCCAGGTTTAAGGGATTGGATGAGCCTATAGATCTCTTCAGTTGCTACTGAGGGCCATTCGGCGCCAATATCACTCGGAGCTGGGGGCAGGGCCTGCAGATGTTGATTTGATGTATATAAAGATAGAAAGTAAGCCTCCCAAATCCCAACTGGTATAGTATAATCAATTTCAATCGGGAGTCTTGCCAACTTTTCGCGACTATTTTCCAAAAGGTGGCTGAGTCTTTCCTTCGAGAGGCCTCTAATAAACGTTGCCACTCCTCCCTTTGGGCCTGAAGCTTTTTCTTTTTAATCAGATCTTTATATTTACGTTTGGCTTCGAACCATTCCGCGGGAAGCAAGGGTAAGTTCGCTGATTTGTAATTCCTGTACTTATCCAGCAAAGAACGCTTTGTAGCAATACATTCCTGATCAAACCAGGGTTTGGATTTGTTGGGGAATATAGGTTGGCGCGATGTCTTTTTTGGATCAGGTGGGGTTGCAAAAGTGAGATCAGCTCCTGGAACAAGATTATTCTAGATTCAGAACATGGTGGGTTTAAGAGATTATCTCTTCTCATGAGGAATGTGTCCGAGTATAGCCTTTCAGATGTTTCGGCATTCAGCTTTTCGGACCATCTAATACGTGAGTATCTCAACTCCATGTTGGAGGACCTGGGGGCTTCAAGTTTATCATTGCAAAATAAGTCTTTTCTTGCATCCAGGAGGAGGCAGAGCGGTAAATGATCACTATCAACCCTCTCCTCCACTTTGCACTCAAGGGCTCTATTTAGGAGATTAAATGATACCATAACATAGTCGATAGTGGAAGCTCCTGCATTTGATATAAAAGTAAATTCCCCACAGGTCTCCCCATTCTTGCGCCCATTTAGTATGACCAGGTCCAGCTTGTTAGAAAGCCGCAATAGGCACAAACCTGCATAATTACATCCCTTGTCTTTTGAGAGTCTGGTGGGTATAAGGTGGTTTTCTTCCACAATAGGTGGCGAGTCGTGGAAGTGTGCATATAGTGCTTCGTCAGACTGGCCAATTCTGGCATTAAGATCACCAGCCACTAGCACTGAAGCTGCGGGGTTTGAGTCATCAAACCATCAATGTATGTTTCCAGCCCATGCCAGGTGTTTTTAATCAGCTGCTTGCCTCTTTGGGGGGGAAGATATACATTAATCAGTAGCAGGGTGAAGAATCTACTTTTCACTAGTAAGGCCATAGCCAGGTGTTTCAGTGTCTCTAGCTTTACTAAGGACGCCCTCAACCTTGTAGATATTAAAATGCCTAGGCCACCCTTGACTCTCCCCCCTTTAGTGCTTGGGGAACCTGTGAGGGACATTGAGGAAAAGCCGTTAACTTCTAGGTCTCCTGTGAGCCATGTCTCCTGTAAAAATACTATGTCGTAGCCTTGGATAAATTTAACAAAGGATGGGTCAGCTGCCTTTTTTTGCCATCCTGCGATATTCCATGATAAAAAGCTAAGGTTGGCTTTACCAAAATCCACTCCTTGTCAATTATCTTCCAAGGTACTGTTAGAGTTTCCCATTCTACGTGGCAGCCGTCTGTCATCCTTGCATGGAGAGCTGCCCAGGAGTTCTATGGTGTCAGATGGTAAATGTAAAGTGCTCACATTGGTAGACACTGGGCCTTTGCTGTACAAGGCCTCCTCCTGGGGGTATTCTACCTGGTTGTAGCCTAATTCCGCTTCATCTAAGTATCTCATTTTGGACCAAAAGCCTGGTGAGGTTTCCTTGGGCATGTTTTTCCTTATAGGGAGCGATGCATTGTTCTCCTTTGTAAGTTGTACTTTCTTGATTGCAGGTAGATTAATCTCTGCCTTTATCTGAAGGTTACGTGGTCGACGAGCCGCTGAATCGGGTTCTTGTGAGATGATTATTTTGGAAGGGCTCTTGCTCTTACTTTGGACGTCCACCTTAGTTTCCTTATGTAAGTCTTTCCCAGCCAGCTTGTTTCTTAGCGTTTCCAATCTTTCTAGTATTTCAGCTTGTATTAAAGGTGGGAATGCCCAGAATTGGCTAATTAAGGTATTTTCTTCAAAGGAGAAGTTGTGTGTAGGGGTGCCCAGTTCGTGAGGCGACTGGTGGTTATTCTGATATTCAGCTTTATTGTTTTCCACCACCTTTGAATAGATGTCTTTCTTATTTAATTTGATGAGATGCGAGGGGGCCGGGCACTTCGAATAGGCGAGTCACTGTCAGGCCTACCCTGTGCAACTTTTCCTTATTAATTAATATTTGTTTTGCGGTCGAGTCATCTTTAAATGTCAGCATCACTCGATTATACTTATTGTCATTTGGGAGAAAATCTGCATTGATAACGTTCCCTTGTAATAGGAGGCCTCTGAGTACTAAGTCAATTTTTTTAAATATATACGTTCTTTGTTGGTCCAGTGAATGTAATTCTGTACGGTTGTACATAGGGCAAATAACCAATCTGCTTCTGTTGAGGATCAGCGTTTGGTTGTTCTGAGTTATCTTGTTGCGAATGGGGGTGTTAGTCACCACAGTAGCAGAGGAGGTTTGCCGATCTTTATCTATTTGTTCGTTCCGATCTTTCGTTGGTTGAGGGCTAGGGGATTGTGATGCACTTGTCACTTTGGGTTGCTGGATAATGCTCTGTTTTGGGGTCACGGGTTTAGTATTCTTTGTATTTGATTCCTTTATTGTGGGATTCTCCAGGAGCTTGAATAACTTAGAAAAATTCAATTTCTTAGTTCGTATATGGCTCTTAGTCCGCCTTCCCACTTTTATGTTTTTAGACTTCTTCTTGTGAAGTGGGAGTATTCTTTGGTGGCGATGCTTCTTTTTAGGTGAGGAGTGTGTGACTCGACTGTTGGTAAACATGGGAGTGGCTCTCTCTGGGACCTTCTCTGAGATACTGGACTCTGTTGGAATTTCAGCCGCTGGAGTGGGGGTGTGTGAGATTGCTCCCCTCCTGATGAGCTCTGTCAGGCTTACTAGCAAACCCACACATTCCGTAAGAAAGTTCCTAATTGGTCCTAATTCTTTACTTATGTGCATTTGGCATTCTTTCATCATTTCATTGAAAAGCCCAATCAGGATACAGGTATTGCTATCTGTGACCCAGCAGGCTCCTTTTAACTGACTTGGATTTTCCTCTATTCTCGTCGCACTTGAGGATTCCATCCTAGCCTTTTCGCTGGGGCTGGCTGCATTGACTGATCCATCTACTGTGCCTTCCAGGCATTTCAAATTTCGTTCTTGATCATGTTCTACGGGAGTGTCGGTAGCATTAGATTGGGAGACTATCTGAGCCATCTCCATTGCCAGACTGATCCCCTCTCTCTCCTCATCAATATCAGGTTCCTTCCCATACCATGTTCGGTCAATAGACCAATCGTGGAGAAGTGGGGACTCGGAGCCTATGGGCGTTTTTGTTTTAGGCTTAAAATACCGCAAAAATACTGCAAAATTTTAGGCTTAAAATACTGCAAAAATACTGCAAAATTTTCGTCTGCGAGGTTACAGATGGAGATTCAACCCTCTGCGTTGGGGAGATCCCCAGAACTTTACATTTCTGTCTGGTGAGCACCATCTCCGTAGAGTGTATGGAGCTCCGTAGAGTATATGGAGCTATGTGGGATATGTGGATGTGAAGATAGCACCAGTTAGACATGCTGGAATTAGCACTCCTCTTGTTAAATAACGCTCTCCCCAGAAGCTCCACGTCTAGTTAATTAATTAGAAGTGGCTGTGGTCCACTGCGTGCCAGACTTTCCGACAGTTCACAATCTAGCGGTCAGAGGTAGAGGGGATAGATAAAATAGGTTTTACAGCGGCATTACTTACAACGACCGTGGCAGATGAAACGTTGAGGGGAGGAGGGCGATGTAATCCAATCTGGCTTGAACCGCCATCTTACTTGCCGAAGAGACTATGTAGTGATACTCCCCGACGGCGTTGAAAGCCCTCCGGTGATGTTAACATTAATTTACTGCCCCCGCTGAACCCCACCGACTGCGTGGAATTCCAAAGTGTAAGTAGAGCTCAGTACTCTCACTTCCTCTCTTCCTCTCTCTTCCTCTCCCTCTATTATAGTTGTGCTTGGAGAGGTGTTTCGTTGCCCCTCTCTTCAGCGAGGCATTTAGAGAACCAGCAGTTTATCAATGTCGCCAGTAAAACCGTAAAACAATAAAACGATAGCTAAGATAAACAGGAGCAGTGGTGAGGTGATAAGTCAGCCAATAAATCATTAAAACTATAAAATTAGAGTCCAGGAAGGCTAAAAACTACTTAAAATCTTAATTGAAGGCAGGCGAACCTGACTATGCTGCTATCTCCGTCGCCATCTTGT